AAGGAAGGGGAAGAGGAGGAGGAGAAAGAGGGGAAGGGGAAGAGAGGGAAGAGGAAAGGGGAGAAGGGGAGAAAAGGGGAGGGAGTGGGGGAGAGGGGGAGGGGAGGAGGAAGGGGGCGCAGGACAGGGCAAGGAAGGGAAGGGAGTCCAGTGATGGCCTGAGAAGCCAGCCAAGTGCACAGCCAAAGCTGCGGCGCCTCCGCTCACACGGTCAAAAACTAGGTCACTGTCTAGAAGTGGGGGCTCTTGTTTCTTTTTTACCCCGTCATTTGGTGTTTCTCCTTCAAGAACACAGAGAAGAAACACAGAGGACACAAACAATGAAAGGGCGGCTGCAGGGGCCCCGAGCACCCCGTGTGGAGCTCTCCTTTGGAGATGCAGTTGCACATCCTGGCCATCGGAGCCCTGACCCGCCCACCGGCCAGGCTCGGAGCACTAAAGCCCCCTGGGGCCACACCCCGCCCCGCCCCGCTCCTGCTGTCCCCCATCCACTCCTCAGTGTCCTCAAGACGAGGTCTTCCTGCCTCTCCAGTTGCTGTCACCTACAGATGGCCCCATGCTGAGTCCTGACAACTATGGGGCAAGGGACAAGGGTGTCGTTCTCATCAGCACATGGGCCCAGCGCTGTCGCCAGGGGAGGCTGGCCCACCGATTTGTGTGACACACATCAGCCAGCTCAGCAGCCCCTCCTCTAAACCCACTCCTGGCTCGGGGCGCTGGGAAGGGGGACTGGAATGAGAGAGAGGGATGGAAAGGACAGTGTTCGAGAAGTATGTTAGCCTCCCCCAGGGCAAACGCTTCCATTTCTTCACACCAACAGAGAAGCTTCTTGGGGAACGGCATAAGCACCCCCTGCCTTCCACCCACCTCCCCTGCTTGACCTCCCACCTGACCCAGTGGTCCCAGGAGGGGCCAGGCCAGTACTCACGCTGCTGGGGTGGAGCAAGGGCAGAGGCAGCAACAGGAAAGGCGCCGAGATGGAGAGCAGCAGTTTTCCTTCCCGGAGAAGGCCCTTCAGCAAGCCCATCCTGGACCTCTGCGCCCCGGCCCGGTCGGAGCCCGCGGGCCGGCCAGATAAATGCCTTTGCTCCTGGCGACGCGCTCGCGCTCGGTCCAGAAAGACTTCTTACACCTCTCTCGGCTTCCAAGAGTCCTGTTTCGTCTTGGGGCAGAATAGGAGGGCAGTTACAGCCCCTGCTTGCACAGAAGGCTGGGCTCCTTGCCTCCTGTTTTAGGTGGGATTGGTGAGCATGGTTTTATGCCCAGCCAGAAGGAACCTGGAAAGGGTGGTAAACCGGGACATGGTGGGTTCCCTCTTTGCTGGATTAGTAATAGAGTGACTTCATTCTAGGGCCAGCAAAAGCCCCCTTAATCAATCCAAATGCCACCTCCGTTGTAGCTGTTTGGCCTTGAAGTCATTTAAAGACTTTAAAAAATTAAAGATACCAAGAGTACTTCGTGCCGTCCGTCATTTTTCCTCTCTCTGATGGCCTGTTTTGGGCAGTTTCACTTCCTACCTGTCCTCACTGTACCCCCCTTTCCTTAAATCAGGCCCCCCCGGAGTTTGTCAGCAGAGGATGCAGACTTCGGATAGGACTGGGCTTCTTTCCCAGGACCTGGCACCTTAACTGAGTTCAAATTTCTTTCCTTCAAATTGATTTCCCACTTATAATTTGCCTTGAGCCTGGGCCTCCGGAGCAGAAAAAAAAAGTCCCCAAGACATTCCTAGTTGTTACGGGACAAAGTCTTGCTGGAGGTCCACCTTAACTTTCATTCACCTATGGGAAGCCGGACAGAGGCAGTGGCCCCGCCCCTTCCCGCAGCCAATCAGCACGTCCGAAAGAATGAGTTTAGTATCTCTTCCCAAGGCACTTGTTGATTGGTGCCAGCAGGAGCCTGCTGATCCTGCAGAACTTAGGCGACTTGGAAAGCATATTTTTGTTTCTCAGACATCCTAGGGGCTGGAGTGATGACCGTCCTTGTAAACATAACCTCACTTCCCCAAGCATGGCTTTGTCGCAGGAGGCCCTAGGACACAGAACTTTCTCGGGAGGGCCTCTCCTGACCTCGTCCTTAGGAAGATGATGTGTCTGGTGGCAGGGAGAAAATAAAATATTAATTTTGGAATAAACTGCTCCAGAATATCCAGTATTAAACCTTTCGGACTTCTCTGGTGGCCAAGAGCGTTTACAAAAGGGTGCGAGTCAGCAGAAGGTTCAGCCTGTAAGAAAGACCTTTTCTTCACACCAACACACCTGGAGCTCTCCTTTCATGGGCAGAGGTTTTTAGGGAGAATTGAAAGGATAGCTGCCTCTCTGGAAAAGTCTAGATGCCAGTCTCATTTCAGAGGTCCCTGGAGCACGGAGTCAGTGGTCTTTCTGGCTGGAGTAGGTGCTCAAATGCTCCTCTCTGAGGTTTTTTTTACAAAAGTAAAAAGAAAAATAGAGAGAAGGCGTCTTTTGGCTGGGCTGCAAGGAGGAGGTGGGAGGGCAGGGAAGAAGCTGACAGGTTCAGGGGCAGGACTTTCGCCACAGGTGGAATCTGGACATCTGCTGCTTACAGATTGGGAGAAGCTGTTAGCCTTTCTTGGAAATGACATGTGGATTTGGGGCAAGGAAGAAAAGAAAAAGAAAGAAAGCAAACTAAATGCTCTGTATGTGGTGGTCCTCATGGCATTGCCTTGGTCTGAGATATGCGGAGCAGAGTCAAGGGTAATGAAACCCAAGTTCTCTTGAATTCACGGAATGTAAGGAATGGCGTTCCAAGATCTATAGCTATACCAGTTGGAAATAATCCCCAGGCTAACATTAAAATGACTGGAAAAGAAACTCCAGAAAACCAGTTCTTCTTGACTTCTAAGGTCCTCTTAGAAATTATCTTGTTATTATAGGATGGGCTGTGACGACTTATCTCTTTAAATGCTTGTTCAAGACTATTGTGTTTACTACATTCGGACCTTATTTTTGTGATGATTTTGAAACTCAGAATGAACAATATCACATGTGTGATGTTTTGGTGGGAAACATTAAAGAGACTGGGTAAGAGTAAAGAGCTGTGGAAATCAACATTGCAGTTAAACCCACGAACCACTTCAAATTTCTCGGTGAGATAATCTGAGGTATCAAAAGATTCCACTGAGCCTAATAACTGCATCATAACATATTTATTCCATCATTAGCAAACATCTGTTAAATAAAATTAGGTACGGTGAATGACACAGTAAGACCAGTAGTTCTTCAGAACTCTCTCCACTTTTCAGATGAAGAACACATTCTCCAGAGTATGATGCTAAAGAAATGTAAGACAAGTACCATTTCTTACATTAAGAAATGTAAGAAATGTACCATTTACATGAGGTATCGAAAATAGTCAATCTCTTAGAAACAGAACGTGGAATGATAGTTGCCAGGGGCTGGGTGGACAGGGAAAAGGGGAATTATTGTTCCATAGATACCATTTTTCCAGGATGAAGAGGTTCTAGAGATCTGTCACAGACCAATGTGTGTATAGTTAACATCACTGTGCACTTAAACATGGTTTGATGGTAAATTTATGTTGTGTGTGTGTGTATGTTTTTACTACAATAAAAAAAGTAAGACATGAAAATGGTTTAGGAAAGTAAGGGATGCCATGTAAAGTCATTTAACAAGCATTTGATTTTAGACCAGTTTACCTGTGGAAATACCTTCTGACTGATTCACCACTTACATGATTCTCTTTTGGTTAGATTCAAGATGAGGCATAGAGCAATGAAAGTTCCAGCACATGGATGTTTTTTAATGTCTCTTGAGTAACACCAGAGGTAGCCATGAGGATGCCAACTATAGAGGAAACTTCCAGAATCTCTGGATCCTCAAATTTCCTGGCAATCTAGAAATGGCAGAATTGGTTGCCTAAACCACAGGCAGTTTTCCGCTACAAACATCACACCCCAAATTATTCTGTTTATGAATAATTTGACAAATATGTAAATATGATAAAATGTGACTCAGTTGTGAGGGTGGTTTGTACACAGTAGCATTAATGAGGAAAACTGGAAGAGTCTGTTTCTGTCCAGGCAGGTTTCTGGGTGGTGGTCATGAGCAAAATATGTGATTTTGCATGTCAATGAAGTCATTGTTATAAGTTTTTTTGTGGGTATTTTTTGCTTCAACACTCCAACCCACGGAGCCACGCTGGCCTGAGCAGTGAAGAATCTTTATTAGAACCCAGGCACTTCACTCCTAGCAGAGGTCTTCCTCTGCTCTTATTTAACATGGAACACAAAGCAAAGGGCAAGTGCTGTTGGTCACAAAGGAAAGTGCATTCTTGTAGCCTGGTGGTGAGGAAGGCAGCAGGAAGACTCACCCCAGACACAGAATTAGCAAAGCCTGGGAACTCCCAGGGTTGCTACAAATAGTCCAGCAGACCTCTTGGGTCTGGGTGTCCTCCCTGTATTACCTCACAGGTAGTTCCATGATTGTGAAAATTTCAGAAGTTGAAGAATCTTAGAGATCATGTTATCCAACTCCTTCCTTTCAGTGTTTCACAGACACTAAATAAAAGCTTAAGGCATCTCTTAGGTGTAGTTTTAAAAGACATCAAGTCATTATCACCGAAATGAAAAACTGGCATTTGAAAGCGTAAAAATCTGTCATTTGAAAATCATTTCTATTTGGAGCACTTAATTCTCTGATGATGCTAAATAACTTGAGCATTTGGACAGAAGGCAAGGCTGTTGTTGCTACCTCTTAGTGAGGACAACCCTCTCTGCCTTAGCTTGGTTTTTCTGTTCAAAAGACAAGGCATGCCTGTTTCTGGCAAACCAGCCTTCAGGTAAGAAGAGTCAAGACATATATAGGTCATACAATTACCAGCTTTCTACCTGATTCTTCTTGGTGACATTTAGAAAAGTTGAGGAGCAGATCCTTGGCTAACAATGTATGTACTTGGCTGCAGCTCTGGCTTCTATAGAACCCACAGAAAGATGTTCATTTGGGCCAGCACCCTGATCTCTTAGGACCAAAGAAATCTGTTCCCCGACTTCCCACCGTGCTTAAGCCTCTACGATATTTCCACCAGATCTGTCCTCCCTCTTGCATGTTTGTGGCAGCCATTCAGTGTTGGCGTGTACCTTAGACTCTGTCACCAGGCCAACCGTTCGGCCTCTGGAGTTGCCCTGAATGACCACCAGCCCTTTCTTCCTGCCCGGGGTCACATTATGACATGAGCCAGATGCTCTTGTCAGGAAGCCGCAATGGGTAAACAGCAAGGGGCTTCATTATTTTATCTCTGCTGCTCTCAGTTGGAGAGGTGTGTTTTGTTGCTGGTCTCTGTGAATGGGGTGGAGAATGAAGAATTTCTGGATTACAGTGTGTGCCGGGCGCTGCTCCGCAGTCCTGGTGCCGGCCAGCCGCTCAGGGAGACAGTCTGGAGCCTGAGGACCGCGCCAGGTCTTGCCTCAGGGCCTGGAAAAGGCTGAGGAGGGACTGGGCCCAGATGTCCTTCTGATGCCCCTGGGCCAGGGCCGTGCGGTAGGCCGTGTAGGCCAAGGTGAGTGCTGTCCTTTCAAAGTCTTCTTTCTTGAGGACGCCGGGGTGGCTGGAGAGGCTGGCGCTCAGCCGGCGGATGTCGGGGATGCGCTTGGGGATCACGTCATTGCAGACGGTGCGGAAGTCCGAGGCCTTCCGCAAGGAGGCGAGCTCCTCATCTTTGATGGAGATCTCCAGGTCAGGGCTGATCTCCAGCTCAGCCAGCAGGAACTGGAGAGAAACACGAGATGCGGGAACACATGAAGCCTGTGGGCGTTGCTGAGGACATCACTGTTTTCGGTATCCCCTGCGTTCACTTGGGGAGGCAGCTGTGGGAAGGGCTTTGGAATCCAAGGGACCTGGGGTCCCGGCCTGCTGTTCCCACCGCCTGTGTGCCTTTGGAGGAGTGACTGCCTTCTCTGAGCCTCACTTTCCTCCTCCGTGAAAAGATTAGCAACAGAATACTTTACAGGTCTACTGTGAGATGTAAATAAGACAAATAGGAACACCGTCTAACATTGTCCCTGGTACAAAGCCACTAATTAATGACTACTTATTATGTCTAGTGGCCCAGATTAACCCATTCTTGCCTTTCTCTCTCCCTCCCACCCGCCGAGGATCTTCTAAAGCGTGAACTATTTTGGGTCATTTTAAATCAGAGGCTGGGGGTTGAAGGACGCAGAGAATTGTGCTAGGAATTAAGTGGGATACAGAGATTTGTCCTCGCGCCTCACCTGTTCCTTAAGAGTCAGGGTGGGGTCTGCCATATGCATCCCCTGCTCAGCCAGGCTCACCTCGGGAGCTAGTAGACAGCTCTTGGACTCGGGGTTCCAACTCTTGTCTCTGTTGCCAGCCTCCCCTGGCTCCAATCTGTCTTTATCCTACTACTATCTTTCTAAAGCAGGTCTGTTCCTATGACCCCCTTGTTCAAGACCTGGCGAAGGCTGTGCCTTTTCCAGTTCGTTCCCCAGGGGGGGACTTGAAATTCTCCCTGCCCCACCCCCGCCCCCTGCTCTACTGCTGGGCTGCAGCAGGCTGCCTCTTCCTTAGCCAGGCAGCTCTGGCACGTGGAGGATGTCAGAGGACGTCGAGGCCGGAGGGGAGGTTGGGAGGTCATTGCAGCTCCTTGTTTGACGAGCGAGGAGATTCGGGCCCAGAGAGACACACGGCTTATGCAAGGTCGCAGAGCTGACGGGGGACAGAACCAGAACTAACGCTCCGATCTTGAACCTGGAATTTCCCCCCTGAACCAGATGAAGCGGCCCTGGGAAACTGACCTGTGGTCTGGAGAAGGGGGGCTGAGAGGCGGAGCTGTGAGAGGCAGAGGGAGGCAGCCCTTGGGGTGGCCCCCGACTGTCAGAAGCTGGGCCGTCACAGTAGGCAGTTCCTGGAGACAGGGCTGCACTCAGACAACTGGCGTGGCTCTGCCTGGCCCCCGTGATGAGTCCCGCCTCACAGCCTCTGCTTGAGACTACTGCCCGCTCTGCTGCGTGCGCGCTTGGAGTGGCCAAACCGAAATCTAATTCCACCTCCTGTACCCTCCTGAAGCCACCATCCCCTGTTATGGCATGCGGGGACGGAGAGGAGAGATGAGGAACGCCTCACTTTGGGGTGGCCAGGACGCGATGGCCTCCACAGGCGAGTCTAGGACAGTCCCTATGGCAGCAGATGGCCCCATTTTCAGGGGCTCTGGTCATTTCTCCAAGAAACAGAAAAGGTGCAATGCCGCTGGGGTGACGCGGCCCCTGGCACCTCTGCCTACCTCGTAGAGCAGTTCTACTTCCTCCAGGGAGCTCTGCAGGACGGGGTTCAAGGGCATTGAGGAGGATCTCTTCGGCCGATGGGCAGCGGGGAAGAGCACGGCTGTAAGAAACAAGATAGTGAGTTCTGGGGGCTGCGCGCACTTGGCGCCCTCTCCCGTAACCTTTCCAGCCAGTCTGGAAAGTGACCGATTCGAAGCTGTGGTGGTCATAAGGCGGGGGAGATGACAGACAACTCTGGTGTCCCAGAGAGCTCCCAGGCATGTCAGATGTTAACTGTTTCAGACCAGTGATTTCCAACCTGGCTCATCCCAGACAGCTTTGAAAACTATGTAGGTGTACAGGGGCGGGCAGAAGTAGGTTTACAGTTGTTTGTATGGAAGAGGTCGTGCAGGTTATGATTATTACAAGAGCTTTATTAACTCTGGGTTTCAAGCACTCGCAGCTGTAAGCCTATTTTTGCCCACCCCCTGTTTGTCAAGGGAACTTCAATTAAAATAAAACAGAAATGATGCCCTGGCTGGTGTGGCTCAGTGGACTGAGCGCTGGCCTGCAAACCTGCAAACCAGTGCCGGTCACTGGTTCGATTCCCAGTCAGAGCACATGCCTGGGTTGTGGGCCAGATCCCCGGTAGGGGACACGTGAGAGTCAACCACACACTGATGTTTCTCTCCCTCCTTACCCCTTGCTCTAAAATAAATAAAATCTTAAAAAAAAAATAAAACAGAAATGAGCACGCAACACACCCCTCCAATTCAACAAATGAGTTCCCTAACAATACTGTTCTCTAATCGTCATGCACATTTTAGCCCTTTATCAGCATGCAGTGCTGGTTTATATTTAATGACATCCCTTTTAATCAGAGGGTGAGACTTCTGGCTACTCTCCGGGCCTCTGAAATTTGCCTGCCAAGAAGATGAACACAGGTGAAAAAGAAGAGAGCTGCCCCAAGACCCTGACATGTGGTCCTGGCTGGGTGGCCCAGTTGGTTGGAGCACCGTCTGTATACCGCCAGGTTTCAGCTTTGATCCGCAATAGGGGCGCGTAAGGGAGACAACTAATAGATCTCTCTCTCTCTCTCTGTCTGTCTCTCTCTCCCCACCTGTCTGAAATCAGTAAACATGTCCTCGGGCGAAGATTAAAAAACAAGATTCTGACACACGGCTCTAGGGGTGTGTGGCACCAGGCTCAGGGTTCCGCGCAAGGGCCAGCTGACTTAGAAATGCATTTGGGACAATCAGTGACTTGCTAGGGCTGTTTCTTTGTGGCTGCATTTAGAAACGGTAGCTGAAGGAAGGATGGGCTGCAACGGGCAGAGAGGGTAGCAAGAACTAGGATCTTACTGAGGACAAGTGAAGGAGAGTGCAGAATGCCACCAAGTGTAGCAATAATCATTGTAAGTTTTAGCTTTCTCAGGTCCTATGGGACCCGGGAGCTGACAGCCCCACCCACACCCGAGCCTCTCAGTACACCTGGGCGCTGTGCAGGCAGGATCGGCAAGCTTGCTGCCAGCTGGTGGAGAAAGGTACAGCTTCTTGTACCTAAAGTAATTACCAAATGTTAAGTCATAAGTCAGATTTCCTTAATCTTAGATGACTATTGTTCCTCCTGCAGTCTGCTGCCTTTCAGAATAATTGTTCAAGCCCTGAGTGGACTTGAACCACCAACACGGCAATTAAAGCAAAACACAAAGGATTGCGCAGAGTGATTTGGGTTAAGTCTCATGTTATAGGAGATACTCTCAAGTGCATAAATAAGAAAGTAAGATTCTCTCTCTGGCTTGGTACCTTAGATCCAGAAGCAGTAAATGGACACATTCTACCATTTGAGGAATTTATATCTTGGAAGTACTTAAAATAAATCATATCTTTTAAAAAAGAAAAAGAAAAAAAGTACAGCTTCTTCAAGACACTGGGTTGTGATTTTCCAGAAAACTGGGCAACTAACTATAAAAAAAAATCTGAGACTTCGAGGTAAATAGCGCCCTCTGAAGTTGCGCAAAACACAGTTTGCATAACCATGCATGTCAGCTGTGTTTCTTCATGACGTGTCCTGGGGCCGCCAAGAAAGGGCCCGCTGATGACCGGTGTACTGTGTTACAGAAGGCAAGGAACTGCACAAGCATTTTAGAAAGAGAATTGAGCCGAAGTGATAAAAAGGACACATCTTTGATATAAAGACATTTCCTGAAAAGCTCAGTGGTAGGAAGGTTTCACTTCCTGGAAAAAACTGGTGGGGTGGTTACTGCTGTCATACTGCTTTTTCTGTACTCATCTATTGTCTATACCGCAAGTCCCCGAGGTTAGCATAGATATGGTTTTAGGTTTCTGCACCTCCAGCAGAGCCTGGCAGGCTTCCGGGCCTTGCGCCAGGCGCTGCCGCTGGCCGCCCAGATCCGCGCACCCGGGGAGGCCTTGACAGGCAGGGGGCCTCTGCTTCCCCTGACCGCGGTGGGGAAGGAGCCTGTCAACTCCAGAGCAACATTTCGTGGCTTAGCATTTTAGCAGAATTTATTCTCTTTGCCAGAAAAGTGCCAATTTCCCACAAAATCAGAGACTTTAGGGCTTCGCTTCTGTTCACGTACTGCCTCTGCCGGTCGTTTTAGGTGGAGCCCAGGAGAATGAGACGTCTCCTACTCATCGGGCTCAGGACCTGGACCGTTCATTAGAATCGCCCGAGGGGCTTTAAGAAACGCTGATGCCTGGGTCCCAGCTCCAAATATTCTGATTTAATCGAACTAGACTACAACTGGGCCAGTAAGATTTTTAGAGCTTGGGAGGTGCTTCGAATGGCAGGCATGACTGAGGTTGTGCAGACAGTGCTGCCTCCGCCGTACGGCCATTCTCAGGTGAGCCCAGAGGGTCTCACCCCTGACGGCACATTAGAACCGCCTGGGAGTTTTTAAAACTCCTGAACGCCAGCCCCCCAGGCCAGTTCATGGGCGTCTCTGGGTGGAGAGAGGCATCAGGGTATTTTCTGGCTCCCCAGTGATTATAATGGACAGGCAGGGTTCATAGCCATTGGGCCATCCAGAGCTGCAGCAAGCACGTGGCACCAAAATGCAAGTCTCACTCCCATCTGAGGCCTTACAGAGCCACCCAAAGAGACGAAGGCAAACACGTACAGACACAAGGAGGGTGTGTAGCTGGGTTCTGCTTTCTCCTTGCTGGGAGATGACACCAGGACCAGAACTGCTCCAGGATCAAGATGTGTGTTCCGCCCATGAAAGTGTAGGTGAACCCTCTTCTCGGATAGGATCTGAGAGCAACTTTACTTCTTTAATTCTTCTTCCAGAATTTCTCTCTTATTGTGAAATTAAAGGTATGGGTCCCCTTAAAAGTGTTCACACCCTGGCAGGGGAAGGGGACAGGCGGGGATATATGTCCCTGGCGCTGAGCCCTTCTGCTGCCTGTCACCTCAGACCGGGTGGCTGCATCTGGGAAAGGCATTCAAAGGGCTAGACCTGCATTTCCCTCACTCGTTTGTTCCCTCGGGAACGGCAACACTCTAACATGCCCACCCCAGGGGGACCCCTAGTTCTCAAAGAGGCGGGAAGAAAATACTTCCTGATTCAAAACTGAGTTTTAATAATGGAGACTTTTCCCCCAATAGTTGTTCTCATAGTTTAAAAAATAATAACAGTTTGGGGAAGATCGTTAGAAATAGCTTCAAGCCAGAGGATGGATGATTGCTTCAGAAAGTGTGTGGGGACCACAGGAATCTGGAAGACAGGCCTCGTCCCCCTCCCATCCCCCGCCTTCTGTGAGTGCCCCTCCCATTGCTGTAGAGGCCTTGACAGGGTGTGTTGGGCCAGGGCTTCATTGCGCCCTCGGGCAGAATCGCAGCCAGCTCTGGGCCACATCTCAGCGGCTGCTCAGGTCTCCCTCCTTACGAATGGGAGGAGGATAAATTCATCTCCTTGGAGATGCCGCAGGTTATGTCTGCTCCGTGTCCAAACATTCGGCTACAAAGTTAACCATACAGTCATCCCAGATGTTTTTGTCCAGAAAGGTGAAGTCAGGGCCCTGCTAGAAATGCCAATGGCTGAAACGAGGGCCGACCCCGAGGGGCAGGCGTGCAAAGCTTGAAACTAGACTCAGCTCCTGCTTGGTGAGAATAACAGCCTTGTTCCCCCAGGGAGCCTTTCCCCGCGAGCCCACTGCCCGCCGTTGCTCCTTCTCTGTCCCTGTGGTTTCGGTGTCCATCCTACATGGCTCATGTCTGGCCGGCTCTCGCCAGCCCCTGGCGTGGGAAGCGTGCTTTACGCCTCCTGTGCCTGACCTTGGTGTCGGCAGGAAGCTGGGCTCTGAGTGCAGGCCTGAGAGCTTGTTTTAGAATGATTAAAAAAAAAAAATCAGTCCCGATTAAAAAAAATTAATTTTTTAAATCAGCTATTAAAAAAAGCAACAACAAAACAAGACATCCCTGGAGACTCTTCCACTCAGGCTTTGCTGGGTTTTCTTCCTTCCCCTTCTGTCCCATCTCCCACATTTAAGGGGGTCATTTGAAGTTCGGCTTCCTCCTCACTGACAGCTGCGAGGCAGCGCTTTGCAGGGCGAGGGGAGGAAGGCCTGCGGGCTCCCCCGTGGGCTGCCATTAGGGAGGGCACCTTCTCTGAGGGAGGAGGGAGGGGCACGCTGGGGACACCAGGGGCTGGCAGAAGGACCCTGTGTCCACCCAGGAGCCCTCTGAGCGTTGAGCCTCTGGCAAGAAGGTTGCTGGGACAGTTTTGTCAAAATCACTGACTTTGGGTACTTTTTTTTTGGTGTAAAACTGGGCCACTTTGTTCTTTCTTTTCCACTCAGTGCTGCACTCTCCAGCTGTTTCTTCAGGATGTGAATGTGCCGTGAGGGCCACTCAGTGTAACCAGGGGGCTCCAGAGACACCCACATCTCCCTGCACACGGGTCCGCTGCACTGGCTGGCCCTGGGAGCCTCTCCCCTCCTCCTCCGGGCCCGGGACCGGTGAGCCCTGGGGAGACGTGGACTGTTCGCGATTCCTGGGACAGACCAGCACAGGACAGATGATTCACTTGCTAAAGGTCATGCCGCATGCACTGAGTGAGTCCCGCGATTGGACCCAGACATGCAGGAATCATATGTC